AGCATAAACAGCCACTTGGGCCAAAACTCACTCGTACACAGCCCCTCCGGCAAACATGAATCATAAACAGCCCCTCGGGCAAACCTCACCATCACTCATATACAGCCCCTCGGGAAAAACATCACTCACAATCTGGGTACCTGCGCTCACTGGGGTGTGCAGACTCCGAAGGGCTCCTACAGCCCAAGCGCTATAACAAGCCACCTCGTGGCATAAATCAATCAGGCCTTCGGCCTCACATAATCATGAATCAATAACAACTTCTTGCAGCGCGCAGCCCGATCCCATAATATCCTCACTAAACAGGCCCTCGGCCTCACTCAGTCATAAACCTCTCAAGCCACTTGGGCTAACAGTAAAAAAAACAGGGTGCTCAGCCCAAAATGACATTTTATATGCATCAAAACGGGGTAATAAAGACTGAGTTATGAAATCAGTAAAACATAGCATGACTGAGTATAGATTTTCAATCAAAACAGTGAGAGGATAATAAGAAAAGGCCCCTAAGGGTCCAAACAGCTCTGGCACAAGGCCCAAATATGGCATTCAGCCCAATTTATAGAAATTCTTTCTAAAACACATAAGTATCATATAGTTTCAGCCAAATACGCAACTTTATAGTTGCTGCGGGACGGACCAAGTCACAATCCCCAACGGTGCATGCCCACACGCCCGTCACCTAGTATGTGCGTCACCTCAAAGTAGTAAAACGATGTGAAATCCGGGGTTTTGTACCCTCAGTACTAGATTTACAATCATTACTTACCTCAAACCGGTCAAACCCCTGATCCGGGATGCTCTTGCCTCTCGAACCGGCCTCCAAATGCCTCGAATCTAGCCACAAATAATTCGATATAATCAACACGATCTAAAGGAATCAATCCCATAAGAAAATGCTAAGCTTTAGATCAAAAGTCAAAAATTCAACTCAAAATTCGGGCCCCGGGCCCACGTCTCGAAATCCGACAAAAGTCGCAAAAAATTCGTCAACCCATTCGAGTATAAGACTAACCATACTAGTTTCACTCAATTCCGACCTCAAATGGGCTTTCAATTCCCAAAAATTCATTTTATGAAACTACACCAATTTTCCCCAAGTTCCATCTCAAATCACGAATCAAATGATGAATTATATGATATATTCATGAATATTAGCCAAAACCGAGTTAGAATTACTTACCCAGATGATTTCCTTGAAAAACTCCCGAAATTCCGTCTCAAACCGAGCTCCCAAAGTCCAAGATGTGAAATAAAACCCTAAACCTCGCTTATATAGTGCCATATGAACCTCCATTCGCGGTCCGCATAATTCCATCACGGCCACACTTCTCACAGCGGTCCGCGTAAATCCTGCCACGGCCGTGGACCCTAAGCCTTACCTTCCGCGGTCCGTATAAAATACACTGCGGCCGCATTCCTTCTTCCGCGGCTCGTAAAATTCCCACTGCGACCTCATTATACCACCGCGGTTTGCACCAATTTTGCGCGGTCCGCACTTCCTACACCAGACATAGCTGACACCAGAAATCTGCAACTTATAAAGCCAAAATTGATCCGTTAACCACCCAAAACTCACCCGAGTCCCTCGGGACCTCAACCAAACATACCAACACATCCCATAACATCATTCAAACTTAGTTGACCCTTCGAATCACTCAAAACAACATCAAAAACACCAAATTACCCTCGGATTCAAGCCTAAGAACATCTAAATTTCCGAATTTCACAAACAACGCCAAAACCTATCAAATCACGTCCAAATGATCCCAAATTTTGCACACACGTCACAATTGACACTGCAAACCTACTCCAACTTCCGAAATTCCATTCCGATCCCGATATCAAAATTTCCACTGCCGATCAAAAATCGCCAAATTACCAATTTCGCCAATTGAAGCCAAATTCTACCACGGACCTCCAAATCACATTCCGAACGCGCTCCCAAGTCCAAAATCACCTAACGGAGCTAACTGAATCATCTGAATTCACATCCGAGATCGTTTACATATAATTCAACATCCGGTTGACTTTTCCAACTTAAACTTCTAAATAGGAGATTAAGTGTCTCATTCCACACCGAAACCACTCCGGACCCGAACTAACCAACACGATACAAAGAAATACAGCTGAGGAACACATAAGGAAGCAGAAATGGGGGAAACGGGGCTATAATTCATGAAACGACCGGTCGGATCGTTACAGTTTACTTTTTCTATCTGGTATATATAAGTTATACAATAATTATATATAATTATACATATAGTATACATATATTATACATGTGCTCGTTATTTTAAGTTAAGCACTTGGGTGGGCGACTATTTAAGTTAATTCTTCACGCAATTTTACAAAGAAAATTTTACCTCCTATAGCAAAGGTATACACCCTATTTATTATAAACCAAAATTATTTTAAAATTTTATTTTCTATAGCTACCTTTTATATTTTATAGCAAAATAGTATTTATGGTATATACTACAATTGAAGCATGAAATACGCTATTTAGATATTCTTCTCTCTTTCTTTCAATTAACACACGATTCTCTCTCTCTCTCTCTCTCTCTCTCTCTCTCTCTCTCTCTCTCTTCTGAGACAACAACTTTCTTCTTTGCAATGGATCTCTTCTGTAAGTCCTACATTTGCAATGGATTTGTACTATAATATTAGAAAGAAAGAGACAACAACTTTCTTCTACGCCAGATATTACAATGGATTCCTCTACATGAATACCGCAATATTTTTTTATGCCGGAGAAGATTCGAGGGCCTAGGTTTTTGTTCGTTTCTATTTTTAATTTTAATACAATGTATACAATATATTGCTTGTTCGGAAAACGCCATCTCCAGCGAACTTTCTTCTCTTATTTGCTATTTAGTCACATACAATGATACAAATATATTGTGTTCTGTACAAATTCACTCAAATATATTATATTTTTTCATGAATACATTATTTTTTGCATGTATTTATGTATTTTGAAGGTTTGTATTCTTTCAATACCACTGAATACATTTGTATTCATGCATGAATACAAGATATAACATTGAAATACAATGAATATAAATATTAAAATAGAACAAAATATAAACAGTGAATACATTTAATTAGTGAAAATACAGTAAAATACAGGTGAATACAACTAGTGAAATATACTGAATACAGCAGTAATAACATGTATTAGGAATAACTAAAATACTGTTAATACAAAATACATCTGAATACACTGAATATAAAATAGCGAATACAGTAAATACAACTATTGAATCTAATGAATGCAATAGTAAAAAAATATACAACAGTTATATACAACTGAAAAATCATTCTAATTAATTGGATTGATAATGAGGCATGTTAGAGTTGATTTTGTTGAGTTCTATTGGGAGTGTATCACGCTAATTGATATTATTTTCATTATTAGACAACTGGACATACCTATTTTTGAGGTGATTGCCATTACTGTATTCATGAATACATGTGAATATATGTGTGTACAGCTGGAATGCCCTGATTTTAGGCATTTTTTGCTGCTGTATTCATGAATACAGCAGCACGAATATAACGAATATACTATCGTAACAACTGCATAGTAGTTATAGGAAGTAATTATGTATATGATAGCTATAGAAAGTTAATAGCCACTAAATAATATTAGTGGTTTCTAAAAATTCTCACGAGAGGAGTATAGGCTTTGGCCCAAGTTCCTAAATTTATGCTTATCTTCGAGTAGAAATAGCAACAAGTAGCCGCTTCGACACGTTATTTAAACTATAGTCATTTTTATAATGTGTTGAAACTTTAGTCAAATAGGCAAATTCTATAACCTTTTTATTGGAGCAGCTACCGCTTCTTCACCTTCTTCAGAACTGAAGGCTGAAGTTAGGTTTTTTTCTTCCAAAAAAGGTATTTTTTAGAAATTTAAGTTGTTTGGCCAATATGAAAAAGTACTTTTGGTTAACAGCGGAAGTAGTTTTTCTGCTTTTGGGAAGAAGCAAAAAATTTTAGCTTCTTCCAAGAAATAGAAAATTAATTTTATTCAAGACAAAACTATCCTCACCATAATATGTATTTTTCAAATTATCCCTTACTGATCTAAGCATTTTCTTTTCTTTTTTATTTCTAGTTTCCACCCTTCTTTTAAAATCAGATACATGAATCATATTGTAATTTTCCAAAATTCTTTTTTGACTTTTTTTGTTTTTGATTTTTTCTTTGTGTAATGTCTTGTGGCTTTCCGAATTATCTTCTTTTTTTTTTTTTTACACTAAAGCAATTTATCTACGTCCTTCTTTTGATTATCAATTATCTTCCTATAAACAATCATTTATAATTTCTTATGTTTTTCCTTTAGAAATGCAAGGCAATTCTTCTACTATTATGAAGGCGAGAAGAAATTGTTGAGAAATATTATCATGTGTGAGTATTTTGCTTATTATTTCATGGTGGATTATCAATATATAGGAATTTATGGAATAAACTTCTAATTCATACTGAATGTTGTATTTTGATTATTCAAATCATCATATAAACAATAAGTAATTATAATAGATAATATTTTTTTTGTTATAACTATATATGTTATATTGATCTAAATCTTTAATATGTATGTTTACTTTATATTTTTTATATATTAATTATAAATAAAAGAAAATTTAATAAAATTCTCTTACAATAAATATTTGATTTTTTTTTCTTTAAAATAAATATAAGCTTTGGTACTATCCTTTTTGATAAATTGTCACTCAAAAATACTTTTCAGAAAGATTAGCCAAACACAATTTGTTTATCAAATATTAAAGAAGCGCTTCTTAAATGAATTGGCTAAATACAAATTATTAATTTTCAAAAGTACTTTTAGAAAAAGCACTTCTAAAAAAATAATTTTTGATAGCTTGTCAAACAGACTCTTAAAACATTATCCTCGAGGTCTGAAATATAACTCTGAATAGGCTAAAATTTAAATAATCTATATAAATTTCGATTATATTTTAAATAGTGGCTATTTGAGCACTTCTCACTAGATTACTATTTTGTTCCATAGCTCCAGAAATCAGAAGAAAGATGGGAAGCTTTCCACTTCCCTCGTCGTCGTCGTCGTCTCTACTGATTTCCAGCTCCTCTTCCATTTCGGGAAGACCATCATCCACAATTTTTTATCCTCACAGGCGCTTTAGGCAAGTCTTGTTCCTTCTTTTTTCGTTTTTCTTCGATTCTTGCCATATAATTTTACATTTGGGAAGTTTAACTTTCTCATTTCTCTTTCAGAAAGGTGCAAGCACTCTCCGTTTCCTGCGATTACTCCTGTTTCGAAGTAAAGCTCTCTTCTTTTATTTCTTTTCCTGAATGATAAATTTTGTATTATTTGCTCCTATATCTTAATCTTAGGATAATTAATTCCTGCAGAGTTCTTTAACATTGTTTTGCTTCCTGATGACGTCCAACTATGCCTTATAAAAGGGACTAAGCGGTCGCTGCAAATATAATCCGGTTTACAAGTCCGGAGTCGAATCCCACAGAGAACTAAGGTTTAGCTACAGCTGTTCACTATCACCAAGAAGACAAGCTTGAACAATTCCTAACTTATAGATATTAAGATTCTTGTGTTTAACTACTTAACTAACAAACTAAAATAGTAAATTAACAACTAACGATACTGAGGGTTCGAGAAAAGATTAAGGAGGTCTAGAGTTATGATTTCCCCTATTGTCGGAATCCTTCCCGCTATGTCTTCTATAATTTCGCCTAAGTATTCTCTACCGATCATGAGCACTCTTATTGCCGTAGATCTCTCCCGAGTAATTACGACAATTTACTAGACGCACTCTCCCGAGCTACGCTAGCTGGCTTTTAATACAGCTCACTTCAGATCGCACCCAAGGCTTCGTTATCCCTAATCCCACCTTTAAACCCTCGGTTATTGATCCCTCATATACTCTGGGAGCGGTGTTGTTCAACAACTACCTAAATATGCACTCTCTCCCGAGTTATGCATACTAAATAGGCACAGCTAATTGAGAGCTTTTCAACCAACCACAATATAAACGTAGTTGAACAAATAGAGAAAAGCTATGGCTCAATTATATAAAAACATAACAAGAATTTATCCTACAAAAGGTTCTATCAAAACTCTAGATAACAAATTAGCTATTCATAATAGTATGTAAAACTACAATACTAAAAGTCATAACCAACAATGAAAAATAGGAAGAGGAAGGAAAAACTCGTAGAAGAATTCTCCGCCTTGCTCCCAATGTGTTCTTGCCTCCTTAGGTCGTTGTCTAACCCTAAAGTAGTGTCTCTCCGCCTCCTTGGTCTAATTTGTGTCCAAAATATGTCCTCCCCTTTCTTGGCCGGCCTCCTTTGTTTAATATAGGGTTTAGGACTTAAAATCCCATGTTTTGCACTTTAGTCCCTGAAATTTTCGCTTCCTGCCACGGTCTTGCCGCGGTCGCGGTGGAACCGCGGCCAAACATGCCCTCTGATTCTTCAGTTGTCCGCGACCATCTTCTACCGCGGTTCTGCCGCGGTCACGGCAAAACCACGGTTTTTCACCCTGTTCCGTTTGGAATTTGGAAAAACGTAAAACATGAAAGTTGTAGCCCTTTGAGTTAGCTTTCCAACCATATATTGTGGAGCCCAAATGGAGTTCTGAGCAAAAAGTTATGTCTATTTTACTAGACAGTGCGCAATATGCCTCCTCAAGTCTTCGTTCGTACTTAATTATCAAATTTGACCCTCGAACACGATCCCGGATTAATTCCTTGAGCTTTTACTCAGACTTCAAAGCTTCAAATCACTTAAATTCATTCCATAACATCTATATAGCTCGGAATCACACCTACAAGGCATAAAACACACAATTAGTGCAAAACACTAGCGATTAAAGCGCAACTCAATTAAAGTGCAGTAAATTCGAGTGTAATAAGCGACTAAAATATGCAATTATAGCCTATCATCACTTCCCATATTTGGGATTTAGATTATAGCAGGTTTCCTTTTCTTTTTTGTGGTGGCGGCGAAAAATGTTATGTTACTTAGGTGGGTGGACCTTATTCTGTAGCATATACACCATTTAAACCAACAAGTCATTCAGCAACTTTTTATTGATATAACCAATCCGAACTTGTTTTGGAATTTGGATTGAGGCGTAGCAGTTGTTGTTGTTTGTAGACTCCGGGGGGTTTATAAGTATTAGAAACACGGTATTCCAAATAACTCTAGTGCCATCTTAATTAACAAGGGATGAAGCCTGCTGAACTTGAATTCATTTTTCTCTTTTTAATTGATCTATTTTGGTTGTCCAGAGATTAGTTTACATATTGTGGTTGCATTGTGGAGGTGCTAATAATAGATGTTCGACCCTTTTCCTTTTTATGGATTTTTGGAGATAAGGGATGTGTCTTATCGACCTCCAGGGACCAAGATCAACCTATTGAGTCAAGTCAATCTTTCAATTCCTGAGAAAAGGTACAGTCTGTTGCTATAATTCAAATGCAATACATTCCGTTACTGTCATAAATTTCCTTTGTCATCTTGTCAGATCCTGGTTTAGAGCTAACGAGGGATTATTTCGTCTATTTCTTGATTGGATGGAAGCACACATGAGATCAGAAATACAGCATCTCATAAGATTTTCAAATGTTTTAGCTGTTCAATAAGATATGTAAAAACATATGAAGCTGTCTATGGAACAATGTCGCTGCTAATCAACTAGGATCTCAAATACTGATATGCATTTTAAAGAGGCTCTGTGTGGAAGAGAGGATCTGACATGGTTTTTTTGTAGTTTTGGCTTGATATTTGGACGAAGTGGCAGTGGAAAAACTACTTTATTGCAGGTCTTCCTTTTTATTTTGTCTTTTCTATTCAAAAAATTCATTTTAGCCTTTCTCTTGTCCAACCAATGAAAGGTACTACTTTGTTCAGGCTGCTTTTTATCTTTGACCTTTTCCATGCAGCTGCTTGCAGGGTTAAGCAAACCAACGTCAGGTTCCATATATGTGCAGCGATATAGTGATGATGGTGAAAAGATTAAGTCTCCTGAACCCTTACAACCCGAAAGAGTTGGCATTGTTTTCCAGTTTCCTGAGAGGTACTCATTTCTTGGTTGGTGGTGTTACATGCACTGTCAGGATGTTCTTTGTGATACAATGCAATTTTCATATAGGTTCATATTGAACATAATGCATTTTCATTTGCTGTTTTTATTGAGAAAACAACAAAACTCCTCCAGTTAGCAATGCAATTATTTAAACTCTATTTCGTTACTCTTCAATTCTGGTATTATGTACATATATAGATTTATCTATTTAGCATGCATATTGGTAAAGTGAGTATTGCATGGTTAGGTAGGTACATAAAGTTTAAGCAGTTCTTTTTGTTTCCAATAGCAGTTTATTCAACTTGATTTTGTTTGTTTCACTGTCTTACAGATACTTTGTTGCTGACACTGTTCTTGATGAAGTTACATTTGGGTGGCCAAGACAAAAGGGTGGCCTTCAATTAAGAGAGCTTCTTGCATCGAGACTTCAAAAGGCCATTACCTCGGTACATATTACTTTAGTGCGATTTAAACTGTCTTTTAAATTTGTCTTCCAAAGGAGAAAAGCTCGTCCGTGTTTCAGCAAATTATGACAGGCTTTTATGTGGTTGACAACTCCTAGGTTGGTCTAACAGGAATGTCTTTGGACAAGGATCCCCACTCATTAAGCGGTGGCTACAAACGTCGGCTTGCCCTTGCTATTCAGTTAGTAAGAATTTCTCATTATGAAAAACTGGAAGTACTTGTATTCCGTTTATGTGCATTTATGTGAACATGCATATGCCCATTTGTGTGACAAAATATTGTTGATATCTTGGGTTATCATCTGTCTATTAATATAATATTTGTCTTTACACAGGTTCAAACACCAAATTTATTAATATTGGATGAGCCTCTTGCTGGTCTCGGTATGAAGAAGCTCACCGCTGTGATCTATTTCATTTTGTTCTTTGGACTAGTATTTTTCTTCCCATTTGTATGTTTTTCCCTGATCAGGTATTATCCATTAGTTGGTGATTCTCCTACGTATGTATGCTTGGGTAACGAAAGTGCTGGTTTAACGGAAGATGAATAGTTGAGATTTCTAGGTTAAATTTGAAAGGAAATAGTAGGAATTGAGATACCTGCACAAGGATTTTACATTTGATATTTTTGAAGAACAGTCTTTCGTCCCACCATGGTTGTTAAAGTCTGGATCTTCGTATTCTGTAATTTCAGTAATCCGAACTCACAAAAGTTCTAACTTGTTATAAATTGTCTAAAGCACCAAGATTTTGAATTCTTACTAGTAAATAGTAATTAGCTTTAGTAATCTAAAGAAAAGAATCATGTGTATGTTACTTACTTTTACTTTATGAAGAACGTAGAAATTATGTTAAATCTTTCTGTCATAGAACATTAAGATTCTATTTTAGGTTGCATTCTCTAATTCTCCAAAAACTAATGGCAACCAGGTGGTATCTCTACATCTATTTTAGAGGAGTTCTTCTTTGGCTTCACTGAAAAGCATTTTTTCTCTTAAGTATAAGCTTAGAATTCCTTTTTGGGTTATGTGTTCTTATTCTCCAAATGGTAACATCGATGTAAAGAAAGATTGTTGTTTTAAAACACTCTTGCCACTATCTACATACCAGCGCTCATATTTGCTTTTGCTAATATGATTACAAGAGGTAATCTGGAAATTTATTGTATTAATTATTTGGTATGGATGGTGCAAGCGGAGTTCAAGAGCTTGCCAGATTGGATCGTACCTCAGTTCGGGTTGCATGTTGGATAAAATGGTATGAAGCTTGCTTGTGGTGCAGAGCAGGAGGATTGTTTTATGGAGTGATGCTATTTCCATAGAGATCGGAAAACTTTATTGTACTGATCTCTGTTGTTTGATGTGATTTGCTAGCATCGTCATGTTCTTGCTTAATGAATTACTTGCTTTTAACTATAAATAACTTCTGTTTGGATTACTGTAGACCTTGGAAGTTATTAAATGGATACCTTATTTTCGTATTTTGGACCCAACTTTAAATTATACTCCTATTTGAGTAGCTAACCCCAGTGTCTGAAAAAGTTTATATTTTATGAGGGAAATCAGATTGGAAGGCTCGTGCAGATGTGGCGAAATTGTTAAAGAATCTAAAGAAGGAGCTAACTTTACTTGTTGTCAGCCATGACCTCAAGTAAGTTCTTGATTTGGTCCATTTGATGTTTTTGTTTACATACGTTATTTTATTGGAAATGTATCACCATGCTAGATGTCTAGCATTGTTCACTCGAGGTTGGCATTGATATCAAGAAAATTAGTTGACATTTTCTGGTGAAGTCGTGGATAAAGTCATTTATCCATACATATTAACTCTGGAACTCCCTGTCCCTTTTTGCTCCTTGATAACCTACCACACATCCTGCATCTACTACCTTTGCCACTTTTGGTTGTGCCATAATTAAGTGTCATGATGAAGAAATTTTCACTTAACTTTTAGTCTCTTCATTTCAAATTGTGTATCTTGTTTCCTTGTAGCATTTTTATATATGAGCACTGACTTCATATTTTATTGATAATATATTTTAGAGTTCATGTAAGAATTTTTTTGTATGACAAGCAGCCAAACAACAGATTAATTTGTCAGATGTTGAAAGCGGAAGAGTAGAGTATCAAATTTTTTAGTGTTTGCAATAAGAGGTGAAATCTTATCAAAGATAAAGAGGAAAACCGATACAATCAATTTTAAATAGAAGGGAAAGACAATATAATGACACACTTTTACACTTAGCACAATCACCTATTTCCGAGTTAAAGATTAATCAATCTATTGTGCTTCAATCCGTAACTAGTTGACCTGCTATAGTTTTCACTACCCTCCTTGAAGGATACAAAAAACTAGGGGTGGCCACTATTTTTCATAGGTGAGGTAGAATTGCATTCAACTCTCAACTTGAGCATATTCACAGAAGGGTATTTAATTGGAAGACAATAAATCACATTTTGTTTCTGGTACTCCTTTTTTTTCCCTAGCAGTTCATCGTGGTTCTTGATTAATTTTTAACTACACATAGCTGGCGGTGAAATTCTGTATGTTCCTATTTTATTTGTAAATTTAGTTCCTTCTCTAATAGCCGCATTGATGGTGATCTACAGGGAGTTGGCATCTTTGGTCGATCAATCTTGGAGGATGGAAATGGGAGTACTTAAAAGAGAGCCACTACCCATTTAATACTTGGGGATTTATTAACAAGAGTGCATGCGAGCTCAAATGGATGAAGCTCCCATGGAGTCTACTAGAACATTCTGAGAGAAGAGAGGAAGAAGAGAGTGGAGGAGCCGAGATATTTCCTGAAAATGTGAACTCCTGTTCATTTCACCAATTGTATAAGGATATATATACATGTTGACTCGTTGACTAAACTAATTGCTCATTAACTAATTTGACTAGGCTAATCACTAAGCTAACTACTAACTAGAAGTTATGTTACACAATACAATAATGAATTGATCTATCAATAATAATAACTATACTCAATATCCCTCCCCCCCCCCCCCCCCCAAAGTTGGAGGTGAGGTCCTCATAGCCAACTTGCCTAGGACAGCTGAGTGTTTGACCCCTGTGAGAGCCTTTGTGAGGATATCAGCTAACTGATTGCGAGTGGATACATGATGAAGAGAGATTAGGCCTTCTTGCAGTTTGTTTCTAACAAAATGGCAATCAACTTCAATGTGCTTGGTCCTCTCGTGAAACACTGGATTATGAGCAATGTGTATAGCAGATTGACTGTCACAAAACACCTGGATAGGACTTGACTGGACAACAGTAAGTTCTGCAAATAACTTGCTTAACCAGATCAGTTCCCCAACTACTTTCCTTAGAGATCTATATTCTGCTTCCGCTGAGGATAAGGAAACAGTCTCCTGCTTCTTGGACTTCCAGCTAATAGGGCTATCTCCCACCAAAACAATGTACCCAGTGATAGACCTCCTAGAGTCTGGGCAGGCTGCCCAGTCTGAGTCATAAAAAGCCTTGATTGAGCAGTCAGGATTATTGGAGAAGAAAACACCTAGGGTAGGATCCTTCTTAAGGTATCTGAGAAGGTGAAATGTTGCTGTCAAGTGGGTGTCTCTTGGAGCTTGCATAAACTGACTAAGGAGCTGCACACTATAAGCTATATCCAACCTAGTATTGGTGAGAAAGTTGAGTTTTCCCACTAACTTCCTGTAGTATGTAGGGTCTGGTAGGAGATTGCCTTCTTGTGCTTCAAACTTTATGGCAGGGTCAAGGGGTGAAGAAACACTGCTGTAGTCAAAACACTGATACTCTTTCAACAAGTCCAGTGCAAATTTCCTTTGAGAAATAAGAATGCCATCTGGTTTATACAAGACTTTTATGTCACGCCCCGAACCTGGGCCTGGACGTAACACGGCACTCAGTGCCTAACTACATGTGACCGAGCGAACCAACTGGCTGGTTAAATCAACACGTGGTATCATAACATACTGAATGCGGAAGATAAACTAACACATGCTGATATACTGAAAGTCTCGATGATATAAATCAAAGTGCGGAAATACTAAAACAAGTCTGGAACATATATGTAGCCAACATTGCTTAACATGAAAAGCCTGAGACTCTGTCTAACTGTTACTCTAGTCTACGAAGCCTCTAATGAAGTACTGAAAACACTGACTGTTTGAAAATACTGAAGACTATATTAATGACAATGCCTCGAAAGAACTGGGGATCACCAAATAACTGGTACGACAATCCTAGCGCTCTGAATCATCAACCTGTAAATCATTACCTGCATTGTAAGATGCAGGCCCCGGGCAAAAGGGACGTCAGTACATTTGAATTGTACTGGTATGTAAAGCAACTGAAAGAAAGAATTATAAATGCTGAAACTGAAACTGAAACTGAGATGATAATTGTGAATTGATAATTGATAACTGAAATAATAACTATCAAAACTGAATTGAAATGATAACTGAAGTGATAACTGATAACTGAAGTGATAACTGACAACTGATAACTGATAACTGATAATTGATAATTGATAACTGATAACTGATAACTGATAACTAATAATTGATAACTGAACTGAACAAAGGAAGTAAGGATATGAATACTCCCTCTTCCGAATGATGAACAACCTGTTTATCTGAATATTAAACTGCGGCCTCAGGCCCAATATATATGTGCACAACTGCGGTCTCGGGCCCAAGTATACGTATACATAACTGCGACCTCAGGTCCAAAATGCATAAAGCATAAACTGCGGCCTCAGGCCCAAAGATGCATAAAGCATAAACTGCAGCCTCAGGCCCAAAGATGCATAAAGCATAAACTGCGGCCTCAGGCCCAAATACAGGTGTTCAACATTAAGGAACTGAGAATCAAACTGCAATACATGATAATGAAATACTGAATCACACTGAGTTACATGATACTGGAATATTGGATCACACTGAGTTACATAATACTGGAATACTGGATCACACTGAGTTACATAATACTGGAATACTGGATCACACTGAGTTACATAATACTGGAATACTGAATGGGACTAGACTGAGACATGTATTCTTGAACTAATTATGAACACTGAAACTTCAATTGTTTATGGCATACTGATATACTAAGACTCGGGGCATCAAACCCAAGTCTATATTGAATACGCACTGAGCTCACAACGTTCAAAATGAAAGTCATGAACGAGTAATGAAGCTAGAGAATAGAAGTTCTGCAACTATTCAAGGAACTAGGCTTAACTATATTTCTGAGGCAATTAGTAACGTCGTAAAAGAAACGTACTGTTGGGAGAATCATTAAAATTCTCAAACATAGAGAGTTAGCCTCACATACCTTAACTTCCTGCTCATGAGCGTAATACAACGTTTGTCAATCCTTTCAACTTTAATCTATAGCAATACAAGTCAAAGGGATTCCATATTAGCTATGATGCTCATGTTTTGGTCACTTAAGTATCTTATCAAACACTTGGTGAGAATAAAGCTTCATAGTCCTTATTAGTGGTGTCTCTACACCCAATAACCCATTCTCTTGTTCCTAGATAAATTCTAAAGTCTCAAATGGTTATAATCAACATTATTCTTTATCACCCATAAAGTAAACAACACCCTTAACCAATAATCAACAATCAACACCTCAAACCTATAATCGTTCATGCTTTTCAATCAAACCCATCAACTCATATCTCATGAACTAGGGTTTAAAATCATTAAATCAATGCCAGAATAAATTAGAGGGCGAAGACATTACCTTTTTGAAGTTCAAACCCTTTGAATTCGAGTTCTAGGCTTCCTTCTCTCAACAATGATGTCACAATCGAATATCTAATGATATGGAAGGTTTACCCATGTTAATAAGATGTTGGGAAATTGAAATTAACTTAGAATCACCATTAAAACTTACCTTGGGTGGTGGAAGGACCCCTAAGGAGTTAGGTTTTTGAGAGTTCCCCTTTCTAGAGCAAGTTTTTATGTTTTGGGGCTGTGGGGGACGAAATATGGCTTTGAAAGACCCCCCACAAGCGCGTCCGCGCACCTGGAGACCTACCCGCGCTACTGACCACGCTAAATGGCAGTAACACTGCCTCAAAATTAGCGCGGTCGTGCTATGGGCGCGCTACCGGGCGCGCATATCGCATACTGTTCTGTAAAACGCGCATAACGTTTTGTACAGAGATCCGTTAGGGCTCCATGATATATCGTTGGAAAGCTATTTCAAAGGCCTACAACTTTCATGCTTTGCGTTTTTCAAAATTCCTTACACATTTTCACTAATACCTGCTGGAAGACAGCCCTTCTGCAAACTTAGTTGATTTTGACAAATCTTATGCACCTTGCTTTCCATCTTGATTTTGAAATAACTATTTTCACCCATAATCATCCCGATGGGACTTCACATGTTCAAAATATAACCTTACTACTCCTTTAACTCATTCATACCTAAGACGAATTTTCGGGGTGTTACATTATCTCCCCCTTGGGATCATTCGTCCTCGAATGATTGTCCTGACTGTAACATCTGCTAACTCCCGACCTTAAACAGGTCTGGTGGAAACATGAACTTTCATTAACACTTGTATACTAAACTGAATGAATACATGATTACTGAACTGTTGTGATACTGAACTGAATGACTACTGCATTGACTGAATATTGGTCTGCCATGGATACGTGAATACTGAACTAACATGGATATATGAATATTGAACTGGCACGAATATTTGAGTAATCTGAGTACGAAGCTGGCATGAATGTCTAAGTATTGGACTAACATGAGTATCTGAGTACTGAACTGACATGAGTATCTGAGTACTGGAAACTTGAATGTTATAACATGACACGTGAGATACTGGCTGTACCACCACTAATTATGGTGGCAACTCCAACTCATAAGCTAATTGACCGATCCTTCGCAAGAATCCATATGGCCCAATATAGCAGGGACTATGCTTCCCCTTCTTCCCAAATCTCATAATACTTTTCATAAGCGAAACTTTTAGAAACACTCAATCATCAACTTGAAACTCTAGGTCGCTATGCCGCACGCTCGAATAGGACATTTTGGCGGCTCTGAGTTTTCTTCAAAGGCTGTTGAATCAACTTAACTTTCTTTATAGTCTGATAGACCAAATCGGGTCCTAACAACTCCATTTCTCCAACTTCAAACCAACCAATTGGTGATCTCCACCTTCTCCCATACAGAGCTTCGTACGGTGCCATCTTGATACTAGAATGGTAGGTGTTATTATTAGCAAGGTCAATGAGAGGTCTGTGATCATCCCAATTACTTTTAACATCAAGGACATATCCTCAACTGTTTGAATAATGCGCTCTGCCTGGCCATCTTTCTGAGGATGAAAAACTTGTGCCTAATCATTTTGGAAAGAACTTCTAAAGTTCATTTTTTTAAACTGAGCACCACAGTCCGAAATGATAGACAACGGAGTCCCATGCAATCAGACGATTTTCTGAATGTACAACTTGGTATAATCTTCTACTGAATCTGTAGTTTTTTTTTTGGCAAGAAGTGTGCTAACTTGGTAAGTTGTTTTACAATCATCCAATCAAATCATGCTTTTAAAATGAGCAAGATAATCCTGTTATAAATTTCATATTTACCATCTCCACTCAAAATATGTGTATTCTGTGATAAAACACTAGGCTTTCTGCTGCTCGACTTTCACTTGCTGACAATTCGGACAATTGGCCATAAAGTCTGCGACTTCTTTTTCATGTCGTTCAACCAATAAATCTCCTTGGTCATGATGCATATTTGGGAACCTGGATGGAAAGAATACCTAGAATTATGGGCTTCTAACATGATCTTCCCTCTTTAAGTCCATCTATGTCTGGGACACACAATCTATCCTAGTACCTCAAAGTACCATCATCTCCCCTTTATTC